TTCTAATTTAATTGTGATCTTTTAATAACCCTATTTATGATCTGTCATAGTCTGCTGCTCTATTTGTTTATTTAAATCAAATATGTTTGAGTTTTTAAGATAAGAATCTGTAACTTCATGTAAATTATTTTTTTGTACGTTATGGTTTTACATCCTGGCTTTTCCTCAAGTATAACTTCTGAAGAAGGACATTAGGGATCTAGACTAGCCTATGATTAGCCTATGGTTTTACAATGTGTTATATAATATGCATTTAACCTGTGAACTCATAGTTAAGAGAGACAAATTCATGAAGATTGTCAGACCTCTCGATGTTCTAGATATAGACTTGATACCCCACCTTGAGCATTGTAGAGTTGGAGGAGTGAATAGTCAAAACTGACACTACTCTGGTTTTCTTTATGTAGATTTTATTAGGATAAAGTAAGATGACTGGCAGTTGAAAGTGCTCATTTTTCCTCCTGTAATTTTATTTTGTCTTAAAATAATAGGAAATTTCAAGTCTTCATGACAGAAAGGGCAATTCTTAGAGACCTTTATTTTAGAAGATTCGTTGGGCCATGTGCTCACAATGAGATCAGGGACCGTGTTGAATACTGAAGGTTGATGCCATTTGATCTGTGCTTACGTCGCAGTCATCCGCAGTCGCCTAGTTTCCTGGGGATTGGAACTTCTGTGAAGGACATTTCACTTGTACAGTGGACCAAAGGTCCAGATAAAGCAATACTTGGGGAGACAACACACAGAACCACACTGCAAATATTTCTCCTTTTCTTGAAACACAGGGCACATGCTTTTTTTCTTGGATTGTGGACAATTTTGATTATCTTTTTTTACTTTATTGTCATTATTTCATGACACCCTATTATATACTATTTTTTATGTCTCAGTCAAAGTGCATAGAAAAAGAGTGGTTTTGATGATGTGCTCAGTCCTAGTTTACTTCGCATTAAAATCAAATCAGTTGAATAACTCAATGGGATAAACTCAGTGGACACTGCCACCTTGAAGTCTTTTATCCCAGGAAGGAATGTACATTCTCGGTACTTGTGTAATTGCTGGTTGTGGTCATTTTCTTTTAAATAGTTTTTGTAATCCAAAGAATATTTTGCTAGGTTTGTGAAGATCTCCAATTGAATTTGAAATGACTGAATAACTCAAAAGGAAAACGAAAATCACTTACTCAGCTGCAAGTCACCCAACCCCTACAATAATCCTTTTTACTTATATAGGAATGTAGTCAGAATAGAATTGACAACTACATTTTCACATTTTTATGTCAAGGATTTTTTTCAGGATTGTCTACTTTTCAATAGGTAAAAAGAACTTGATTTTCCTTTTCTTATCCCCCTTTATTTTCTTTTTCACTTGAAGGCTCCTAATGTTGTAGAACCCTCTTAGAAGCTTGGAAATAAAATGTCTTTCCCAACTCATGGAATCCTTTTTCTTTTGGAACATGTTGCCTTAAAAGCAGTCTTATCTGAAGTGGTCTTTCCATATTTGGATACAAAGCAATCACAGCTTTATGAGACTGACACACACATACATGAGAAGGAATGCTGCTCTGTTCTACCTGTCCTTGCAGAATGTGTATGGTATGGTTTATGTCCATCATTCATTCTTTCATCAATTTACTGATGCATTAATTCACCAAAATCTAATTTTACATGCCTTGCAGTATCCAGTTGAAGCTGTAAAGTAATCATTGCTCTCTTCTTTGACATTGTTTATTCTTCCAAATTACAGTCCAAAGTACCCATTTTATTGTCTTCTAATCACCTTTTTAATGTTTTGGTAACCTACCTCTAAAGACAATGCAATGCTGAGGGATGCAATGTATGGTGGAATACATTTAAGAGATGATAAGTTGGAGTATAGGTTCACTATAGCTGTTGGGGGCAGAGATGCTAAGGATGACATGGAAACGTGAGAGCAAATATCTACTTCTATTGGAGAACATATTGATTCATAATGGCGCATGCATGCAGCTCTCTAAGTCGGGTGGGATCTGGTAAGGAGTGTTTGAAACTGCTCTTAGGTCTTTGTTATGCACTTCTCTAATTTATGAGTATCTTTACAGTTCAGTCAAAAGAGACATAGAGAAATTGGACTGCTGAAGGAAGAGTGCCACACTTTATGGGACAAGCAGTTCAGGACAAATGAGAAGCATATATACCCACAAACAGGATAATGTTGTCTTTAGAGAGATCAAAATCAGGTACGTTGAGATCGTGGAATTCAGTTCATCACAGATGGAGAAGAAGAAAGAGCCCCTTTTCCTCAAGCACTTCTAGGCTGGCCTATGCTACTATCATCTGAGGCCTGAAAGACTTACTTTCACTCTTGTTTTTTTTCTCCACAGAGAAGCTACAATGTTATTTTTAGAAAATAAGTCTGATCAAAGGGTTCCATAGCTTAAATAACCTTTTTGCTTTCCCAAAGACTTAAGATGAATTTTGATTCTTTTGTTTCATTATTTTATGAGACTATGGCTCTGTAAATCTCTTCAATTTTGTCTTAGTCCATCGTCCAGTGCTTGGTGCTGCAACCACACTTGCTGCCTTTTAGTTCTAATACAGATAAAATGTGTCCCCCTTTATATGGTCAATTAATGGTCAATTTCCTGAGCATCAGTAGTCACTCAGTAAAGTTACTTTCCTTATAGCCTTTTTTTCTTGGACTTTTCTGACCACCTATGAGAATGTAAGAAAGCAGGGCTTTTGCTTTCTTGTTATGAAAGAACAATAAAAATTTGCTATGGATGTGAGCACACTAATATGACAAGGTTTTCAGGATTTGATAACAGATTAAAGAATACCAATATGACTTTAAATTTCCTCTTCTGAAAATCTGGTCTACTCTGACCTTGATACTTGAGATTATGTTATAAAAAGAAAAAAAATGAGATTGGAGGAAAGAAGTTGAGTTAAATTTAGGGAGTCATTTGAATTAGAAATGTTGTGACAGCTAGGTTATCACCCATGTGTAAGTACTAGCTGGAGAAGCAGGGTATGAGTATAGGTTGGGGAATTATGGAGTGGGCACTCAAACTCAGCAGTTTCTTCTAATTGGCTTTTACTACTCTCTCCCAACTTTAAAAGAATATTTCAATAAGGATAGTGGCTTCTGGTTTTTCAGAGTAATACAGATTTTACCTTTATTAGGATAGTTAATACATATAAAATTTACCTTTGCATATAAAAGACTTTGAAAACTAGAAAGGGAGCATTACTTAGTGTATTGATTTTCCCTTAAATTAGAGAAACTTTTGAAGTCTCATTATATGGGAGCTAACATGTGCTAACATGTAAACACATAACTTATTTCTGTGGGAATTACAGTGAAGGACGTGGCAGTTTTGAAAGGTTAAATATCTCCCCAAAGAATTGCAGAACCAATGTAAAGTTTGCATAGGAAATAGTCTTAGCTCTTCCACACTGACCAGGAGCCCCATCCTCTAAACTTAGGCTGAAGGTGTCACTGGAAATAGCTGTTCCTCAGGGTTGGTAGCTTAGCTGGTACACTGGGCATGAGAACTTGAAAAGAGATGGAGGCTTCCTCACATTCATTTGCTTAGTTTATTATTTGTGGTTTTAGAACACATTTGTATCAAACCTCAGAGGACTCAGCTGCCTGCTAGGTCCAAAGGGGCTTAGGAGTCAGAATTGTGATTTGTACTGCTAGAAATTCCATCTGTGAATTTTTAAAGTCTAATGAAAGGGCAGCAGTTAGATAATCCCTAGGTGTTCACGTGTTTCATAGAGAAATCTGGTATTTCATCTTCTTACTGAATTCAAATGTATGAAAGTAAAGAAGTTTCCTCACTGGTGGTCCTGAAAGTTCTTGGTCGGGGAGAGAACATTTGCAGTCTATCTCCTTAAGTGGCAAGTCCTCATTTCCTGTGGCTGAAGAAATACTCCACTGTTCTTTATGACTTTTAGAAAGTGTTGGTCAACACTTGGATTTCTCTCATTGGTTCACAAAGCCAAAACACATTAAGGCTCAGGATTCACAGAGCTAAATTCTTTAGCAAAAGTTTAAAAACAATCTATCCCATATCGGATGTGGCTGGCCTTCAATCCTTCCCGTAAAAAACACTCCAGCATATAATAGCTTTGTGACTTCGGGTGCATATCTTGACCCCTCTGAATTTCATTTTTCCAAATGTATGATGTAAATATCAGTGTCTAATTTGCCAGCAGTGGTTAAAAAAATGAATGAACTCCTGTTTCTGGATCCACTAAGTGGTCCCAGGATTCACCTGAAGGTAGCAGTTATCTTATAAATATCTTTATTGTTTTCCCAACTTCAGGCTCTAGAACAATGCAAGGGAAAATTCACCCATTAGGCTTCTGGTTTCCTCCTGTCAGTTCATTCCCTCCTTTATCTCTCTTCCAAATCCAAACAGATAACAGATGTCTTGACACAATCATAGCTTGGCTTAGGCAGAGAACTGATTGACAGTGCTCCTACACCAGAAGATAGAAAGAAAGCAACAATGTAATTACTTTTTCAGTGGATACATAGAATTTTGTATGAACTACTGAGCATAATACTGGAAAAGAAAGATATGAAGTAGCTCTTAAGTATTTTGTTTAGAATACAAATTCATATGACTATGAAATATATATATGAATTGATGCTAACCTTACTGTGAACAAATACTCAGAAGAAACCATTTTGGAGAAGAGAGCTTTATTTTGCTCAGTTTCAGAGGTCAGTCCATGGCAGGGAAGATGTGGTAGAACAGAACAATTCAGGTCACAGCAGCAAGAAAGCAGAGCAGGTGCCTATGGTGGGACACCTTACACAGCCTTGGTACAGGGGGAGGGGCTTGGACCTGCCTCAGTTGAATGCACCAGGCCCTGCTAACTCCCTATGGGAAGCCTTAGAGGAGGTGGGAATGGGGGATGCTTTGGGGGGGAAGGCTGGGGACGGGAGGAAAGGGGGATTTGTGATTGGTATGTAAAATGAATAGAAAATTTCTTAATAATAAAAAAAGAAGAAAAAATAAATTAGAGAAAAAGAAAAGAAAGAAAGCAGAGCAGGAGACTCAACAGGAAAGGACCAGGGTAAGACAGAGTCCCAGGGATGCATACCTAGTAACCTGCTTCCTTCATCCATGCCCTACATGCCATAGTCTCACCACTTCCTGTAGGATACTAAACATCCATATTTGTCAATGGATGAATCCCTCCAAGAATTCAGAGCTGTCATGTTCAAACTGTATAAGAACATACTCACAAAGACACATGAACAGGTGGGCTTCCCTAACATTCTAGGCGTATTTTAATCCCCTGAAGTTGACAATCACAATTACTCAGGGCAATTGGATGGGAACTATGTATCAACTGATATTTGAAACCTGATTGCACTTGTCAAGATCTGCACACAGTTTGACAACTCCAACATAAGTAATTTCATGTTTGATATATTTTTGCCTCATTGTTCACATAATGGTGCTGACTTTTATTAGACACATAACTCTTCTCTAAAAATATTTAGATTTTTAAGACATACAATTAGAATCATATTTTCATTACAAGTCTAATGAGTTTAACTACAATACTTACATCATTTTAGCACTTGGAAATTTGGAATTATTGTATGTTTTGGTGACATTCTCCCGCTTTCCCTTATTTCCAAGCAGTAACTAAGGGAAAAAAGGTATGGCTATGCTTTAAATTATAATTATCAAAACACTTTTTCTTATGATTTAGTAAACAGATGGTCAGTTTGGTAATATCCCCTAAGGACATATATACTTAAGGGTATGTGGCTAGTGGACTCTTATGGAATACTCATTTCATTTTTATTTAAATTTAAATTTTTATATTATTAGCACAGAGTAGGTATTGGGCAAATATTTGAGACAAGAACTCAGACATGGGGATATTAACGTGAAATAAGTTACTCATTTCATGAACTATGTAGGACAGCAGTCTAAGCCACTAGAATGGCAAACAATTAGTTTGCATAAGTGGCTTTCCTTTTTCTAGCTCTCATGTTGTGTTAGTATCATTATGGCCCCATGGAATTCTGTGATACAGAAATGAAGAACACACAGAGTGAAACAGTACTCACTGTACTGAAAAGATCTCAGAAATGGCATCAGATATCAGATGGCATCATCTGTAGGACTCACAGACTCTTGGAGGTACACAATTTTTGTCTCCTTTTATCTACATATACAATAGGGGGATGTTATCTGTTTGTGGCATGCTTTCAAGAATTTGAAAGAACATTGACCTAGAATAGAAAATAAAAGCAAATGTGTAACTCACTGCATAAGTTAATGATTTCATTGCTTTGTTATTATATGGGAGTTCTGCTGTAAATCAGAACTATCTAGTCCTGGCAAAATATTTTAAAGAAAGCCTCAGATGCAAAGACAATGTTGAGGGGCCTTTGGCTTACCCTTTGAAGACTCAGATCCAATAGCCACAAAGTACTGCTTCTAGGAGATGAAGCCTGCCATTTGCTGGGTAAGGATGGTCACTCCAAGAGTTCTCTTGGCTCAGCACCACTCTCTAATCCCTTAGTCTAGAAATCAGTCTCCCAGAAAGTCCGGACTGTGAGGAACTCCCATTCTGGGCTTCAGTGTTTTCCAAGTCTGAAATGTGTCCATTGTATCACTGGATGTTGGAAAGAAGTAGCAATAAGTAACATTTTAAAGAGAAAGATAGAGTCCCCTTTAAATTAGAAAGCATAAGCAGGTGATTTTACACAGCTCTCCCTCACTGTGCCAGCCACATCCCCTTCACAAGTTCTTTCTCTGATCCCTAGATCATGCCAGAGCTGTCTACCACATTGTTACCATTTTCTGTCTCTGAATCTTCCTCTCTTTAGTATGCATTTTACTATCTTTCTTTTACAGACACAAGGAAAGATGATTGAAAACAACAGCGAAGATATTGTATTCATTATGTATCTAGGACTTGGAAAGTTGTAACTGCTAATAATCAGTCACTGGTGACATGGGCATGTTGGTAAAGGTTTTGTAGTTCCTTCTGATTGGTTAAGCCCAAAGTTGGGATTGTGTCACTAACCATTATAAAACCCTAGTTTCGATAAGGTGTTAAGGAATAACAGCTAAAATCTTCAGCAGCAAATGTGTCCAGAAAGAATCCAATATAATTATTTTCCTCTGTATTTATGAAAGTTTCCACCCACAAAAATGATAGCACATTTGCTTTCAAAATACATTTGTTTAGGTACAAACAAACAATTCAAAGATGTATAGATGCATATTGCATCTGTGACTTTAACATGTTATGGGAAAGAAGGATTCTGATGAATTCAAGTGGGTCCATAAAATTTGGACAAACCCAAGGTGCCTGACCAGGATGTGTCAGCTCCATTTTTATCACTGTGACAAAGTATGTGACAGAAATAACTTGAGGAAGGGATTACTCATTTTGACTTAAAATTTCAGAGGGGTCTGTCCCTGTTTCGTTGAATCTGTGTGCCTGAAAAGATCACCATGGTTGCAGGATGGTGCAGCAGGGAATGATGGGAAACAAAGCACAGACAGCAGATCCAAGTAACAGGTATAATATACCCAGGACAACATCCCCATTGCTGTGGGCGGGACCTATGATCCTGAAAGGCAAGCAAATTGGATTCAGAAAGGATGAAGGAAGGAACAGTATCTAGAAAGAAAGCTCAGATTCTACTGTGGAGTCACTGTGAGTTTTAGAACCCCTGAACCACAAAGGGATCTGTCAGTAATTGAGACAGTTCCTCATGGCAGGGTTTTTGTTGTAGCTTTCCATGTCCAGAAACAGGTATGCCCTTTCTCACCTATCCATTGTTCATCTCCTTGAACTTCAGCTTCTTAAAAAGACCTCTGTTGATCATGTTTATAAAAATATCAGTTTCTCTGAGAGTCTTTCCAAAATCTTACAATTTCTTTTATTATTATTAAGTCAGATTGATATTATAATTGTTATTTATATATTTGCTTCAATGCATGCAAATGTATAACACACACATATGCACACACAGACACAAACACACAAACACTATACCACCTCCCAGCCTATTGAACACTTCACTAGGAGAGTAGCTTGCTCTGTACTTCTCTGTACAAGAGATACCTTGATAGAGGGAGACATCAAGGGGATAGGGAGAAACCTGGTGCTAGGGAAGTTCCTAAGAATCCACAAGTATGACCTCAGCTTAGACTACTAGCAATAGTGGAATGCCTGAGCAGGCTTACTCCAGTAATCAGATCAGTGAATATCCTGTCATCCTAGAGTCCAGTAACTGATGAAAGCAGAAGCAGAGATCCACAGCCAAGCACCAGGCCGAACTCCAAAAGTCCAGTCAAAGAGAGGGAAGAAGGATTCTATGAGCAAGGGACATTAAGATTATGATGGGGAAACCTACAGAGACAACCAAATCAAGCTAGTGGGAACTCATGAACTTTAGACCAACAGCTGTGGAGCCTCCACAGGACTGGCCCTCTCATAATAGAAACAGTTGTGTAGCTTGATCTGCCTAGGGGCCCCCTGGCAGTAGGATCAGAATCCACCCCTGCTGCATGAGCTGATTTTTTTGGAGCTATTACCTGTGGTGGGACACCTTGCACAGCCTTGATGCTGGGGGAGGGGCTTGGACCTGCCTCAACTAAATACACCAGGCTCTGCTGACTCTCCATGGGAGGTCTTACCTTTTAGGAGGAGGGAATGGAGGGTGAGTTGGGAGGAGGAAGGCTGGGAAGGGGGCTGGAGGAGGGAAGAGTGAAGGATCTGTGATTGGTATGTAAAATGAATAACAAATTTCTTAACAACAACAAAAGAAAGAATGTAAGAATGCAAAACCATACCTGGTACTTATTGTCATTATGATAAATAAGCACTTAACAAGTACATGAGTAGTAACAAGCATTACCAAAACCTAACTCTTAAGCTTTGGTTGCATAGTTTGAGTGTTTTCAGACAACCTCTTATTTTAATCCTCCTTGTTAATATAAATTAGTTAATATATTAATTCCAAATATAGATCAAGGAAAAACAGTTGAGCTGTATTCCCTTCCAGATAATCTGTAGGAAAGCAGGTTAATCAATCAGCTTGTGTGAATCCCTTCTAGGGTTTCCTTTCCAGCTTTTTCGGTGTCCAAGAACTAGGTGACCAGAAATCAAGATATTTCCTATGCTACACAAGTATCTGTAGATGAAGAGAATGCAGATACATGATTTGTCAAAGAGTTCTTATAGACAGCTTTGCTCAGTCTGAATATCTGAATATTTAAACAAAAGAAAGTTTCACACACCTATTCTAATGTCCCACAGTAATAAGGACTTCACTGTCATCAAGTGTCCTTGTGGTCAGTGGATGGACTTCTGCTTTAATTTTGATGTATTATGGAGTCCCTAGGTTACATAAATAAAACTAAATCAGTACTAGTTATTGTGCTGAACATCTGCTTTTACCTGTTGTGTTGGATGATGTACATGTGATTCACATCCTAAAATATCAAATGGGCAATTTACTTATGGCCTAATGTGGTCTAAATATTGGGTAATTTTAAAATTGTTAGGGAACTCTCTTTAAATGGCTCATTGTTCTATGTAAAATACATAATATTCAAGATGCTGGAGCCATAAAAGATATTATATCTTTTGTGATATTCCTGGCAAGATAATGTTTTAGGTTATTTTATAATTTTTTTATTTATGTATTTACTTTTTATAGGGTTGGTGTATGCATGTAAGGGCTTACTCGTGGAGGTCAGAAGACAATTGTTGGAAATCACTTCTCTTTTCCTATTGAGGGAAGTCAAGGTGATTGACCTCAGGTCTTCATATCTGGTGGCAAACACAATTATCTTCTAAGCCATCTTTCCAGCTCATCATTTTGGTTATTAAAAAATGGTCTCATGTATCTCAAGATTAAACACACTATGTAGTGGATGATTATTGAGAAGCACTGATTTTCCTGCTTTTGCCTCCCAAGTGCTACGATTGTATGTGTGTGCTATTACACCTGAAGAAATTACTGAAGCCCTAAGGAAAGAAATATATGGTAGCAGTACTTTTTCCTGTATATTTGTCCAATGGAGACAGGTTGGATCAAGGATACTACTTATGGGTATTGCTAATGTCCATGGTCATTTGTTGTCTTGTTTTTGAGATACTCTCACATTCATAGTTTTAGAGTAACTTTAAATAGTGCCACTTTAATCCCCCAAACTGACCCATTACAGTGAATAAACAATATAGTTATAATACTGTGTTGGTAGTCTACTGAGTTTCTGATGGCCAAAGGAAAGGAGAAAAGGGGACAGAAACTTTGATTTCCTTAATCTTCTAAAAAAATTTCCACTCTTTGCAGCTTTGAAGTTTAGTGGTGACTTAAAAAAACAGTCTTAAGCCTCTCTCCTGGGATCTATAAATATTAGAAACAAGAGGCAAATGTTGTGTTCATGTTGTTTATGTAGTTTTGTCTTCTCCCTATTATATTCAAGATAGGTGCATGCTGAATACGAAAAATTAATGTTTTCAGCTCTTCCTTGAATGGTTGCCTAATTGCATACTATGCTGACGAGTCACTACTAGTTGTCTTACAAAATTCCCAAATCCGTTTGACAAAAAATTGAGCTTATGACAAGCTAAATTCTGGTGATGGCACAAGCCAAGTAGCAGTAACAAAGTGGACCAAATCCCTGCCTTCTGGTGAGTTCAGCTCTAGACGGAATGTCCAGATGGAGAATGAAGTACTAAGGGAGGTATATAACTAAAACCTGTAATTACAGAGGACATAGCAGCAAGCCATTATAATTAGAACAGAAATCAGTCTGACCCTTCTGGTGTTACACATAGCATTTAAATTAATATATATATATATATATGTATATACATATATATGTATATATATATATACACACACACACACACACACATATATATATATACACAGTGCAGAGTTTTGGGCTTTGATTCTTATCTTTGAATGGGTTCCAAGAAGGGAGTCTGAGAAGAGGAACTGGGAATCAGCATGCAAACCTCATTGTTTGGAATTTCAACATATTTCTTTCTAGAAAAAGGTTTTTTGTTGTTGTTGTTGTTTTCATTTAGTGTTTCGGTGGCAAAGCATGTGACTTCAAATGTCAGGGTGATGCCAAACATTTGCTGTTACTATTTTTGAAGTGAAGTATAAGAGTTTATTAATTGGATTGCAGTGAAACATCACGTTTCCCATCTTTATTAATGTCCTGCAGTTGTCTTCAAACTGACACTACCTTTTCATGTCCTCTGGCCCCGCTTGAAGTTTTTTCTTTCTTTTCTTCTTCTTCTTCCTTTTTTTTTTTAATCTTAGGTTTATGAGGCTTCATTCCTTGATAATATTGTGAAGATAATGTCCAATATTTGATGAAAATATCTTTCCTGTTTTATGTTTGAGATTAATTCTGTGCTTTTAATGACACCAAAATACTCTTCACAGAAACACTTATGATACTATCTTTTCTATTCCCCCATTACTTTTTTATTAAATAAATCAATTTTTTTTTGTACTGTGACATGAGAGTTTAGATCTTCTAATTTGACTGTCCAATCAATGAAGCTCCTTTATTGAAAACATTCAGTTAGGCTAAGTTGCCAGAGGAACAGATTAGTGCCTAGTCCATTCA